ACCTTTTTTTCGGAATCCTCGCATCGACAAATAGTGACTCAACAGTGGAGTAGCCGGTGATACCCTTGAGATAGTGACAGTCACGATATAGTTTGATACTCACTCACTTAGGAAAAAAAACGATTAAAATTGATTTTTTTATTACAAATTAATTGAAGTCGGATAATGAAAAGCAGACCGGTTAAAAACGATTCTCTCAAAAACAACCGATTTTAACTGATTTTTTTTGGATTCAAAATCTGATGAAAATCAGATGAAAATCGTGTCATTTAAATCGATTTTTCATCATAAAAAAATCGATTAAAATCAGGTTTTCTCGTGTATTTTTTTTACATGGGATATTTCGATTCGCAACTTCATGGTCCGTAAAAACACATTATCGTACGACGCACGATGTTCTTTGGGAATAAAAGAGGAATAATTAAAGATATAATTATACAAGAAATCGTCGCAAATAAAGACCCCTAACAGATGATTTTCGTTCTAATAACAACTGCGTAGTTTTGATACTCCTAGTAAAGGGTGGCCTTGCATTATCCACTTCATCAAGGTATAAGTACACTTAAAAAGAAATCTTTATTTAGAAATGACATTGCATAGGACTAAATCATCTAAGCTACTGTCAAAGACCATATTTAATTAATTACCAAGATGTACCACGATTAATTTGAACAGTGGTAATTTGTACACGATTTCGCTTTCGAAATAAACACGGTCGAACAACTCTAACAACTTCTTTACGAAACATGCTGCCAGTTAACGTGAACATGTAGAAGCTAGTTGAATGCGGGAAATATGACAGTACAGCGAGTATTTTACTAGCAGCACTTTCTTGACTGATTCGAAGCGAATCCTTAGCTAATCCACTCGTGAATAATGCATATAGTTGATACACAGAAAATGCTCCAGTGCAAATGATGATGACGATTACTTGAGCAAACAACATGCGTAGGAGATCAGTTCGTTTTCGTCGTGTAGCACGATGAACATTTTGCGGAATGGCACGATCTCTAAAGCGGATGTTTTTCAAAGTGAGACAGCCAAAAATAAGCATGAGCCACGAAGG